ATGAAGAAGTTTCGGTTACCGAGTCAGAAGAGGTCATATTATTAGTATATTCTACTAAAGAGCAGGAGTATAGAGGTTATTATTATTTTATTGATAAATTATTGTTAATCAGTGTTGAATCAATATTTAATCAAAATAATTTATTTTAGAAGTGTCACTGATTCCAAATAAAACTTGGTCAGCTAGTTCAGAAGATGGTTTAATTGGTAAATTTCTTTAATAATATTATTATAATACGTTATTATAACATTTAAATTGTTTAATTTATAATTTTACAATAATAGGATGTAGCATTCGATATTGTTCTTTTGAGGTAAATAATTTTAAATTCTAATTTGAAGCTCATTATATTATACTATTTATTTATTGATATATATTTTCAATTAGGGAATCAATGAACATGTTTGGCATATTTTAGATATTGCTCCTGACAGTCCTGCTGAGATGGCCGGTTTGGTTAGTTTTATTTTATTATTTAATCTTTATTTTATTTTATCAATTAATATTTTTCTTTTTTTTAAAAAAAAAAATTTTTTTATGCAGGTTCCTTCAACTGATTATGTTATCGGAACACCACATGCAGCATTGAGTAGCGAAAATGATTTTTATGAATTGATTGAAGCATATTTAGGAAAACCACTTCGTCTTTACGTTTATAATGCTGATTTTGACGTTTGTCGAGAGGTTTGTAAATTTAATGTTTGAAATTTATATGCTTTTTTGATATAAATTTTACATTATTATATTTTTAAAGGTTATCATTGTTCCTAATCACGAATGGGGTGGTGAAGGTTCTTTGGGGTGTGGCGTAGGTTACGGGTATGTTGCCTTACTGGTAAATTTTGAAATGTCTTAAAATTTTATTTACGATAATTCTTAAATTTATCTATAATATTAAAGTTACTTGCATAGAATCCCAAAAACAAATAAATTTAAATCACGCGAACAAAATTTTGAACTATCATGGAACTCTTCTTCACATCCTCTTCTTCATCCTTCGTCTGAACAGCCTTCAAGTACGTTTGCTTCTGCTTTCAACCTTGATGATACAGCTTCTGATAATGAAAAACACACATATTCAAACCATCCTGACTACTCAGCTCCTGCTGAGATAGTTAAAGAAGAAATTAAGAATCAAAATGATAGTTATGATGAACAAATAATAAACGATGATCAAGTTTCAATTAAATCGGAAAATAGATCAATTTCGAATGGTGATGAGAGTGAGAGTATAGTCATTGTTGAAAAGGAAAATTAATTATTTCATAAATATTATAGAACTAGTGATAAAAAAAAAAAAAGATATTGAATATTATAATTTTATTACAATAACTTTTTAATGCGATTTTACAAATAATTATTATTGTAATTTACAAAATAATGATGTAAATAATATTAGGCTCTATATTTCCAATTTCTTTAGAATTAGAACCTCGGTTTTTAATATATATATATATATATATATTTACGCGTAATCACTAATCAAATTTATCAAAATTATTACGTTTTTTCTTTTAACGGAAATAACTCATTCAGGAGTGCGCTTATTATCAGATCATAATTCAAGTTTGATAAACCAAAAATGTATTAATATGGGTGACATAAATACAATGGCCCCAATAAAAAATTCATTTCAAAAAGACAAACTATTGTGTATGCACTCTGCACATTATATCATGAACACATGAAAAAAAAAGAAAACTAATATTTTTAAGCACCAAATGAACCTTTGAATTAATTATAATAGCATTATAATTTACATTTATATTAATTATCCCATTCCCAAACTTCTTTAATCCATCGACGTAAGGGAACTTCTCTCTTTGCTGATCTTTGAATAAATGGATGATCAAGCATTTGTCTTGGAGTTGGTCTTTTCTCACCATCTTTTTCCAGACTTGTTAAATATATACATAATAATATTAAGTACTAAATTATAACAAATAAACAAATATAATTGAGTAAATTTTAATTACCAAACTCTCAAGAAATCTTTAAGCTCAGCACTCCATTCATGATCATCTTTTAACACAGGTGCTGGTTGATTGACTATATGTGAAACTAATTCAATCGGAGCAACGGTAGGAGAATATGGAAATGGAAATTCATTTTGTGCTACCTCCATTATCGTTAATCCTAAAGACCATACGTCAGCTGATACTTTATATTTTTGACCTTGAATACGTTCAGGCTAATATAGCATTAAACTATATGATAAATTTTTTTTGACAATAAAAAAAAAATTTTTGATTTATTTAAATCATTTACTTACGGCCATGTAATAACTAGTACCCAAAAAAGTGACAGCAGGTAAATCTGTTGATATTTGACCTGATACTCCAAAATCGCAAATTTTTATTTCACCATGTTTTGTTACCAAAATATTAGATGGTTTTATATCTATCGAGTAAGAAAAAAAAAAGTATAAAGGTATATGTAATAGAATCCAATTCATAATATAAAAAGAATAGATCTTACCCCTATGAATAATATGTTGTTCGTAGAGATAAACCAATCCTTTCAACACCTGATAAGAATAATAAAATTGTTTAATATACCAATTAACAGAAATTTAAAGAAAAAAAACCAAAAATTTATATAATTTACCGCTTCTCCAATCTTTCCCAAGATTGGTTCACCAATTCTTCCTTGCCTTTGTTTAACATGTTTATAAATTTTATCTAAACTTCCACCCTCACAATATTCCATAAAGATAGAAATTGAAGAATCACTATCTTCCAAATCAGCTCCATAATAAGTAACGATATTTGGTGAATGGCATTTTTGAATAAAATCAACTTCACGAACAAGTTGTTTAAGCATAGAAGGATCAACGTTGATTTTCTAGTGTTTATGAAATTATAAAATTTTTTTAGATTTTTTTTCCAGGGAAAATCTTAGAATTATTATACAATCCCATGTAAGCTCCGAACCGAAACTCTAATAACTCAAAAAGTATATCGTTGGATCAAAAAATTATACCTTTTTGGCCATTACAACTTTGTTAACTGTATCATATACTTTAGTCACTATACCTCCAGCTCCTTCACCTAGCTTTTCTAATTCTTGCAAATTTGCGGCATTGATTTTTTCACCTTCTAATGGAAAATTGGCTGATTCTTCTCTCGGGAATCCACTTGAGTCGTTTTCAATTGGTTGTGGAGTTATCCTTCCACTTGCACTAATTGCAGTCTTAAGCTCGTTTGTTAACATCTGACCATTTAAAGTCTGAGACGGAGATTGAGATGAAGGTGCTGAAGAAGAAGGGGTGATGGACGGGATTTCGAGACGAGGTGGAGCATTGCCACGATGAAGGCTAGGGCTGGCGCCTACACTTCTTTTACCTTTTGAGCTTGGTCCCGATGCCATTATTTAATATTTTACTTTTTTTGGATAACTGAAAGACTTTATTTCCGGTGTTTTTTAAAAAAAATTCCGCTTTCTATCATTAAAAATTAGCCTTATTAATTTAAATATAATAAAGTTTTATCGAAGAAAGAAAAAAAACAAAGAACCTTTTTTACAATATAACCGAAAAATTTAATAGTAACAAACAATGATACGATCAAAACGACAATTAAAAAGTGTTTCTTTTCGTTACATTCAATCAATTACTAAGATTAAGAAATTTAATGTTGTCAAACCAATCCTAAATTAGAAACGTGAACACTTAAATGATAATGACAATTTTTTAACCAGTAAAAAGGATTTATTTCTTATCGTTATCTTTATCGTTATTTGCTTAATCTATTACTTAACAATAACAATAATGAATTAAACAACTAATCTATTGTTTTTCAAATGGAGTATAGAATGAGCAATTCATACTTTAAATAAAATCCCTTTGTGCATTAATGAAATTTAAACCAATTTTTAACTTAAATTTATCACCTACGAACAATATGTAATTTATCAAGATATCGAGATAATATTGCGGCTATTATAGCCATTATACCACCAAATCTAAAAACCCAACCAAATGCATCACTATTTTCTTTATGTGAAAAATCGTTTACCAGTTTGATAATTACAGAACTGGATAGAGATACAACTAATTGAGGTAATACGATATACAAATTATGTACACCCAATATCATCCCTGCAGCAAATTTTTCACCTTCACCCTCAGTTTGTGAAGTGGGAGCAGCAGATGATGTCGAAGAAAGTTCTAAATTCATACAAGAATCTTGTTCAATATCATTGTTATTTAATGGTCTAACTTCAGTATTTTCTTGTATTTGTCTTTCATCTTCTTGCTGGACATATTCACCAACCATAGCAAATGGTACCCACATTGAAATAGCCCATGGAATACCAAAACTACCAATAAGGCAAATTGATTGTTCGACATTGTTCACGAATAAGGTGCACCAGGCTATCAAAGCAAACAAAATGTGAGAGATAGTATAAATGTTGTAAATGGTGAAAGGGTTTCTACTCGAAGGAGAGGTTGGAGTAATCTGCGGAATAAGAGAACCGGCCACAAAAGAAATCCATGAATACATTAACAACGCAAATGAACCATATCGAGTTGACTTATCAAAGAAATCAGGATCATTGGTTGAATGAGTTCTTGCATATACAGACGCTATCCAACTCGAGCTTGACAAGGCATAAAGCGTGAATGTTACAAATACATAAGGGAATTCGAATAAATTTGAAGAAATAGTTATTTACCTGAAAAACAAAAATGGGAACCAACCCATCCAAGAAAAGAATTGAACATTACAAATTTTTTGAATTGGTGATGGAAGATATCTAATTGCTCTATATATATATATGAAAGTATTATACAATGAACTAGCAAAAATAACAAAATAATAATAATAATAATAATAATAATAAGTAACAAAATTGATTGATTATTAAAATTTATCAAAAAAATTTATAACAGGTTTATTGCGGTATAGAATATAAAGAGCAAACCTTGAATCATTTTCTACAGGTTCGTATACTTTTTCTTTGATAGTTAAACATGTATAAAGCAATGATAGTGTAAACACTATACATGCAACTAAACATAAAACTTGAAGTTGATTGTCTCCTAAGAACGGAAACAAGACTAATAAATCCAAAAATCCAGTGAAATATCCAGCGATATTTCCTATATGTAACATTCTACCAGCCCAAGCATTACCAGCTTCTTGCTGATGTACGGGAGGGATGTCCAGAACCAAAGCACGTATAGAAGCTTGAACTGCATTTAAAGAAAAATCTAAACAATAAAAGCCAACGACAGCAATAATAATTGCCATTCTTCTGATCTATTATATAGAAAGTTAAGACATCAAGTACTGTTATAATAACAAAAAAAAATTTTAATCATATAAATTTAAAATTACGTCTTCATCATCTAATGGAACTTTCGAAGTTTTTTTGCCAAGCAGGGTCGCGGCCCATTCTTTTGAATAAGCGATTGAGACCATTGATAAGCAAACCAATATTCCCCCAATAATAATGAACGGTCTTCTTCGACCTATCCTAGACGTGCATTTGTCACTAAATGCTCCCACAAGTGGCTGTATTATAAACCCAGAAAGAGGTCCTGCAAACCAGACAAGAGCTATAAGCTCAGGCGACAATCCTAATGATACCAAATACGGTGTTCCATAGCTAGTAATTTAAAAGGCATACTTAGGAAAAAATTTGCATTTCGTAATATCCAAATTAAAATAACTTTTGGAAATTGAAAATCAATACCCAAAAGTACTCACGAAAATTCGACTGTCCCTAAAAGTTTTTTTTTTTTACAAGATAGAATATAAGACTTTGATATTTAAAAATATAGCTGTATAAACCCCAGTCCTAAAGACGAAGCTTCAACGACAACAATAGCAAAATAAATTCACTATTTAGAAAAGTATCTTGAAGCACATTTTATAAGTTACTTACATGCAAACTGTAGACCAGCCATGCAAATGGTCAGGTTAATTAGCTCCCATTGGGACAAATATCTTTCTTCAGTACTCTCGACACTTTGATAAGAAGGTGGCCTTTGCTTAGAATTTAAAAGAGGTTTGGAGACTTGGGTAGAATGAGATTCCATTGTTAATAGAAAATTAAAGAAATAATGTCTCGCATTTTTCCGATCGAGACCTTTTTAACGGTTA